CCGGCCCGCCCATGATGAACCCTCCGCCGCCGCGTCTGTTCGGCAGCGGCACCTACGACCCGTCGCAGATGCCGCCGGGCAACATGTTCAACCTTGACGACGACGACCACAATGACAGCGACCCCAAGCGGCGGCGCATCGCACGGGTACAGCGCGCGGACTTGAGGGTGACGACGGCATGCTGACAGGATGCAGGCGTGCGACATGTGCCGGAAGAAGAAGATCAAGTGCGACGGCAAGATGCCCTCGTGCACCCACTGCCAGAACTACAAGACCGAGTGCATCTTCACCCAGGTCGAGAAGAAGCGCCAGCCGCCAAAGGGGTAGGTGCGACCGTGGTGTTGCGCACATGGTATGCTGACCGTGCACAGCGCCAAGTACATCGAGGGTCTGGAGAACCGCCTGGCGCGCATGGAGTCGCTGATGCGCCTCTCTGGCGTCCTGCCCGAAGACGACGATGGCAGCACCGACCTGGCCACACTCGAGCGGCGGCTGGAGGCACGAGCCGGCCGATCCGCTACACCCCGGAATAGCATCGACGACCGACGAGCCTCCATGGCACCGCCCACAACAGGCCACTCGACCGCCAATGGCACACCGGCCCAGCCAGCTCTCCCCAGTCCGAGGAGCGGCACCGCCTCACCAGAGCCCCAGGAAGAGATGGACACCACGAAGGACAAAGACAAGGAAGAGGACGCGCTCGCCGAGATGATGTGTTCCCTGGTGACGAACAACTGCGGAGAGACCAGATACATCGGTATGTCCTCCATATCCGTCGTCTTCACCGCTAACAATCCCAGGTTCTTCATCCGGTTTCTCCATCTTCTCGCCAAAAGGCATACAATGGGTCAACGAAAAGACCGGCGACAACTCTTTCCGCGACATGATCTCCACAGCCGCCGTCGAGGACAACAAGTGGATCCAATGGCGGCCCGACGTCTTCCAGGACATCTTCAAGCGCCGCGTCTACAAACAACTACCGCCCAAGCACGAAGCTCTGTCTTTACTCAAGGACTACTTTGAGAACTTCAACTGCATGTTCCCGCTGTTCCACGAACCGACCTTTATGCATCTGGTAGACAAGCACTACTCGAAAGACCCATACGAAGGATCCGGCTGGTGGGCCAGTCTGAATGTTGCTCTGGCTTTCGCACATCGACTGCGCGTCATGAGCAATCTGGTGCCAGCAGAAGAAGACGAAAAGGCGTGGCAGTACCTAAAGAACGCCATGAGTGTGATGGTAGAGCTCACCATGCGCAACACCGATCTTCTGAGTGTCCAGGCTTTACTGGGAGTGGTATGTAGTAACGGACTTTGAAGATGTTCTCATCTAACGTGTTTAGGGTCTCTTCCTTCTTGGGACACCAAACCCACAGCCTACCTACTTCTTCGTTGCCACCGCCATGCGACTTGCACATAGCATTGGTCTCCACAAGAAGGGTGCCAACTTCAGTCTGAACGCCGCCGAGGTCGAGCAACGAAGGCGTGTATTCTGGATTGCCTACATGCTGGACAAAGAGTGAGTCTTGTGATCTTCCAACAGTATACACATACTAACCCCCACAAGTATCTGTCTACGGTCTGGCAGACCACCTGTACAAGACGATGACGATATGAACGTCGAGCTACCGAGCGAGACTCCACCGGACAATATCGGCAACATCCCGCTCGCCGATGGAAAGGGCACAATGAACCTGTTCCGTCTCATGTGCACCTTCTCCGTGATCCAAAGCAAAGTCTACAAGGGCCTCTATTCCGTAAAGGCATCCAAGCAGACCGATGGTGAATTGCTCAATACTATTGGCGAACTGGACAAAGAGCTGGAAGCCTGGAAGGACGACATACCGCTTGAGTTCAGACCAGAGCACGACATCAAGGCATCGCACACCCCGCTCATACTTCAAGTGGCAGTGCTACATCTCGGATACTACAACTGTTTGACCACTATCCACCGCATGAGCGTACACCACGGATACTGGACCAGTCGATTATCCAACTTCGCGATACAAGGTCTGAACGCCCGCCCTCTGAACCCCAGAGTATTCATGTCCGCTCAATTATGTGTGCAAGCTGCCCGAGCTTCGATCCATCTCTTGAAGTACATACCTAAAGGTGACTTGTCATGTGTCTGGCTGGTCATCTACTTCCCTGTCACCGCTTTGGTCACACTGTTCGCCAACATCCTACAAAACCCACAAGACACACGATCGCGGTCAGATCTCAAACTGATGAAGCTGGTCGTCAACTTCCTGAACATGCTCAACGACGACCAAGGCAGTGGCAGTGTCAAGCGCATGTGCACAGTTTGCGCCGAGTTTGAGCGTATTGCTACTATCGTGCTGGAGAAGGCAGATCGCGAACACGCATCGCGGCGGAAGAGGAAACAAGGTGATAGCGAACAGGATGCTCAGATCGAAGCAACCGCGGCTGAGCTTCTTTCGACAGGTCGTAACCCACAATCCCCACCTCAGCAAGTTACGACCCCACAAAATCCTCCCGCCCAAGAGGGCATGATCTTCAATCCAGACTTCCATGGATTTAATGAGGTAAGCTACACCACCGTGGTGCTAGTCCAAAGCTAATATGTTCAGCCATTCCCCTTCTCACCAAACTTCACACACGACTCTTTACAACCCAACATCCAAATGAGCCAATACGGCTCACCGGGAATCACCGCGCAAATGCTCCAGCAATCACAAAGCCTACCAATGACAACAGGTGGTGACATTAACGGCGTAAACGCGAACATCAATGCCATGGCCGGCATGGGCCAGTTTGACCAGACTCTGAACAACGTTCCACAGGATCTATGGAAGATGCCAATGACACTGGAATGGGATTGGGCGGATATGACTGGTGGCTTCTCGGGATACGAAGATGGCATCAGCATGAACGGTGTACTTCCGGATTTCTCGAATAACACCGGCCACGGAACAAGCGAGTTCAACCAGGGCGCCATGAACGGCGGTCGATGATGAAGCTTACTCTCAGCCCATCGGATGGAGCTTGCCGTCCCGACAATGGTGTTTCACAACATCGATGATTACGTTTTGACCCTTCAGTGTCAGCAGGGTATTCCTTCTCGTCTAGGAACGGATGTTACCGCCCAAATCCAGCACGATCTTGCGTGCTTCGCTATATACCACTTCTCACCATCGGAGGCATTTCGGTTTCCACCTCCCTTTTTGATCCCATAGCGTGTAGAATAATGTTGTATCTCTAAGCAAATACATCTTTGTAATCATGCAGCTGTGTAGCAAAAGCAGGCTCTCCAATCGTCGTGAATGTACGGTAACCACGTCTTGGTAGCCATATGCAAGATTGCCCATAGGCTGCCACTAACATCGCGCTAACGATCATAATCCCGAGATCCTCGCTGTACGATGATGCTTACCTCCTTGACGTATGTCCACCCAGATATATCAGTATATCTACCAACAATCCCTGCGCTGATCACATACTTCCATCTGACATCCCTCCCCTTCCAGTCACCTTACCTACCCTACCCCATATCTCCAGTCCGGTTAACGAAGACACCATGAAGAACACAACAGCCCTCCTCTCCACCCTCATAACCTCCAACCACATCCTCTCCCACCACGCCGTCCTCGACCCCTTCGGCCACATCAGCGTCCGCAATCCACACACAAACACCACTTTCTTCATCGCTTTGCAAATCGGGCCTGCGACCGTCTCCTCCCCCGCTGATATCGGCGAATACCACATCGCCGACGGCACGCCCTTACCCGGTACTACGGGTGGATATGCGGAACGCTATATCCACAGTGAGATAATGAAAAGATATCCGGATGTTCACGCGGTTGTGCATAGTCATTGTGAGGATGTGCTTCCGTATACTGTTCTAGATTATGCTGGTGATGGGAATGGGGATGGGGATGGGGATGGAGATGGAAAGGGGATGCGAGGGATGCAGCCTGTGTACCACATGGCTGGGTTTCTGGGTGGGGAGGTACCGAACTTTGATATTGGGGACGTGTATGAGGAGGGGGAGCCGAGGGATATGCTTGTTAATAGTGTGAGGTTGGGGAAAGGGCTGGCGGGGATGTTTGGGAGGAATGAGACGGGGGTTACAAGTCCTTTACATACGACGGTGCTGATGCGTGGGTAAGTATTCTCCTAGGCGATGAATGTATGGTGATTCATCTGCTGACGGTTTGTATTAATGTATAGGCATGGCTTTGTAACAGTTGGCGACGGGATAGAGCAAGTTACGGATTTCGCGTATTACGCGGCGAGTAATGCGAGAGTGCAGACGAAGGCGTTGTTGTTGGCGGGGGCTCAGGGCGGGAATGTGAAATATCTGAGTGGAGAAGAGAGAAAAGCGACGAATGAGATGAATCGCTGGATTGTTTTTAAGCCTTGGAGGCAGTGGGTGATGGAGGTGGAGAGAAGTGGGAGGTTTATTAATGTTTTGGGAACGCCGCCGCTTGAGGTGGAGTGATTGGCGGAAAGAGGGGTAGATATCTCTTTGGCGATGTGCAAGCTGAGTGAAGAACTCGATGCTTGAAGCTCGAGATCAAGCAATAGTTCCGAAACTGCATTTTGGCGTACTCGGATCGTGGGGTTGATGCCGATAGATCTGCATGACGCCATCTGCCAAGCCCCAACAGCTTCCGAGCGGAGAAAGGCGCCAGGCGTTCTTCCTCTCCGCCCTCTCGACTGCCGTTCGTCCCCACTCACGTCATGTTGAGGTTATACCGCGAAAGGAAGCTCGATGTTGTACCAAGACCTTAGCAGCTGAAAAGACGTTAAGATAGCTGCGAGGTATCGATGGATGTAGACATCCGCTCCTAATCCATGCCTGATAACGTGCTTATGCATACACATCACGACTTACCGGAATGGTGTCAAAGACTGAGGTATAAACATGCGCCGCCTATAGTTCTCCAAGCGATGTATTCCACAGTACACTTCGGATCATCTGCTCGGTCATTAACGTCCAACTCCAGAGGACGTCGACTGTGAACGCATCGATCGTCATGAGGGCCTCATACAAGACAGTCTTAACTGTACTTCCATTCTACGCCACTACTGCTATCGCAGATCGATATGCTAGCAACATACGACCGGTGATTGTTGATGCACCACAGGTGGCGGCCAACTTCCCCGACGTCGATGGCATTCAACTGTTGTCGCCTGCTTTCATAAATCCGGAGAACGTGCCAGCGACATTCGCGAACGGCACCTCCGGACCCACTCCACAGCATGATCTAGGTATGTTTCGAGCATCACGACATCTCCAAGCTTACTGACCCTGTGTAGAGAGCTTCGTGAAAGGCCTCACCCAGCGAAACGGATGGATCACCTACAATAACGACCTGAGATCCGAGGAAGATCGCGTGATACCGTACGTTACATTGACAAACGGCAAGAAAAGCAGTGAGAAACTACGTGTCTGGATTCAAGGAGGCCAACATGGGAACGAGCCTGCAGGCGACGAGGGCGTGCTTGCATTGCTTGGGAAGTTCGCGCAAGACTCTCAATGGAGTGCCAAGGTCCTTGAGAAAATCGACCTTACGATCATCCCGCGTTACAACGTCGATGGCGTCGAGTACCTACAGCGACAATTGGCTTCCAACTACGATCCCAACCGCGACCATGCAGTGCTCGAGCGACAGCAGACACGTGCCATCAGAAAGCTGCAGTCTGGATTCGACCCTCACATCTTCATCGATGACCACGAGTACACAGGCGGCAACTTGGTAGCGGAAAGGTACATTCGCGCGCAGGATCTTTTAGTGTCCGCCAACAAGAACCAGAACGTCAATCCCAGTATCCGAGCGTTGAACCAGGTATTTGTCGACGACATCTTCGCAGTCGCTGAGAGTAAGAACCTGCGTATCTTTCCATACTTCACCACCAGTGTCGCAAATGGCACGATAACGATCGAAGAGCCGGATGCGCTTGCTGCGGCGAATCACAAGGGTGCTGGAAGTTATCAGGCCCTGACCTTTCTCGTTGAAACGCGTGGCATTGCTATCGCGGATCAGCACTTCCAGCGACGTGTAGCTTCGCATGTTATCGTTCTGGAAACGATTCTCAATAAAGCAGTGGATGAGTTTGACGACGTATACAGCGCCATCGAATCCGGACGTAAAGCGTTCATCGACAGCAAAGACGAGATCGTAGTAACCTACAAACAGCGCATCACCAACAAGACAGTCCCTTTTATCGACGCATCAACCGGCTCACTCGTATCAGTACCCGTCCGTTCCCGAAACAGCGATCCCTCCATCGTCACCCTCTCGCGTCCCCGCCCAAAAGCCTACGTCTTCTCACGTGCCTGGGCTGATGTAGCCGAGCGTCTCCGCATCCTCGGTGTCACCGTCGACGTCTTGGAAGAAGACTTTGTCGGAACTGTCGAAGCGCTCGTAGTAACAAAGGCTGAACTTGCTGAAACGAAATTCGAAGGCATTGCCGGTACCACAGTCACGACTAACGCGACGCAGCGAGAAGTCACGATACCGGCTGGCGGCTTCTATGTTGACACCAAGCAAAAGAATGCCGGATATGCGTTTACGCTGTTGGAACCAGAGGGGGAGGCGAGTCAAGTGTATTACAACAAGATCCCACTGGAGGTTGGGGATGAATATCCCGTATTCAGGGTTCTGTAAGATCTCAGTACCGAAAACCCTGTAAGAAGAGTATACGACATCTTTCCCATCCCTTCCATTATTCAATGGGCGGATTCAGTCATCGTGTATCTCGTGTGTGTTGCGGGAGTTGGAAGAGTATACGAACAACCCATCTGCCGATGTTGCCCGACTTCTCCATCCAAAACGAACATGCATAACCCCTTCTTGAGCCCTACATTCCTCTCATCAACGGTACTAGGGCCCGGTATCATGCTTCTAGTGGTGTTCTAGCTGTCTCCAACCGAATCGAGTGTCGTGATGGGTGTCTGGGTGGCCTGATACCAAGGTTACCATGTATACCCTTGGTTCTTCTTGTTTTTAGGGCCGAAAAAACCAAAGTCTATTCCTCGCGATCGTGAGAGTAGGTGGGCCGGGGGTATACGAGGATGTATTGTACGGTAGTTGCTAGTGCTTACTGCTGTCAGGCGAAGTTTAACCGGCAAGAGTGCTTGTTTGTACTGTGCATTGAGCGTGCGCGGTAACGATCAGTCTTAGCAAAAATGATACTCTTGTGGGAGATAGATGACTAACACATTCACACTCACGCTGAAATTTTGTAATTCGCTTATGTTACCAATTCATTCTCATAGATATATATACATGAAAGTCATACCGATACCAACCAGTCACAAAACGGAACAAAACAAAGCCGAAATGTGATGCGCACGTAGCCATAGGCTACAAGTCATCTAAGCACTACCACCAAGCTGCTTAGTAACATACTGGGTACCCAAGTTCTGAGTAGGAGTATCCCTGGGGTACTGAAGATGCTGAGCATTGATACCCTGACCGTGTGTAGTATCACATACACCATCGCCCTATTCACTATTAGTAAACGCCTCATATCGTTCCCCTTCATACCAAAGCATGACGAGATAATGGATAGACTTACAAAGATGCACACATCCAGCGTCTTGCCCTGCCAGTTATCCGGAATGCCCCTGCTCAGCGCCGCAGACAGTCCGTTGACGTTCTTCGTCGTAGTACCACCGTTGTTGTCAACATTGCATGACAGTCCTGACTTGTGCGCCGGGTTACCAATGAGGAAAACACCCTTGACAGCATCGAAGTTCGCGCCAGTGAGCTGAGACATGGCGTTGACCGTCGCCTGAGCACCCTGACTGTATCCCTCGAGGATGAAGCACTCGCTCGGGTTCGTGCGTAGTGTAGACTGGACTTTGTTGACGATATCCGCGGTGCCGGCAGCGCTGTTCTGGCTGAAACCGGCGGCGTAGACGGTGTTGTAGATCTTGCCGCCGGAGACTGCGGACTGAATGTTGCGGTTCATGGTGCGGAAGCCGGAGGATTCGCCTTGGATCTCGCCGGTGCCGCGGGTGTTGATGATGGTGTAGGAGGAGCATGCGGCGCGGGTGGAGAGGTTGTCAACAGGGGCGGCGGCGGAGAGAGCGAGCAGCGAGGCTGCGGGGAGGATGGTGGAGAAACGCATGGTTGATGTGTGAAGATGGGTATGGATACGTGAGTGAATGTATGAAGTACGACAGTGAGAGAAGGTGAGCTGATGATCTTATCGTCAGGGTGGTGTCGATATTACAGCGGATCATCTCTGCCTTAAATATCCACCCTCCCCCCATAGACAACCCGTGTGTAATAGGAAAAAGCACCCTCTACTATCCCACAGATCCCACCTCACCTCGGCAGACATTCTTAGCGCGTTTCACTCGCCGATCCCCAGTCTGCACCTCTACACCGAATAGGACGGAACCTGCATCCGCTGCGGAGCACTAAGTCATAATCGTGGCCGTCTATCCCGTAGGCGCCTCGATCGACACATGGCCTAACGGCTGTCACCGTCTGGAGTGGGTAGAGATCTTCTCTACCTTCTCGATTTGGATGACTTCATGACCAGGAACGGGGATTGCGGGTGAGGTGTCGTAACGGATATTCGGTGTCTCTGTTCATGCATCGACGCCGTTGTGTCAAACGCATATGTCATATGTATCTTTGCTTCCAGGATACCGATGGCGAAAGGTGGCGCGGCGAGATCTTTCGAAACTCCTCAGTCCTGATAGTGGCTGAAGCGGCATGGAACATTCCATCCTATGCCGTCTACTCGAAACAGCCAGAAAGTGGGGGTAGAGTCTCAAAACCTCCAATGACATGGCAAAGCGCATTCCTCGTGCCTCGGGGTAGCGACTGCACCATGGTGGACACTGGACCACCCGGTGCGCCTCACAGTCTCTAGGCGCAGGTCCTGAATCGCTCATGCGGGTCCGCGGATTGCTGGCCTTACCACGTTCGGTAGACTTGCCTGCTGTTTGTGGTTTGGAGCCTGCCGCAAGGAGAGGCCCCAATGATTACTCCCTGCCGTCGATCGGCATCGAGCCTCGGCACGGCAATTGAACAAGGGAAGATGCAGCGTCGGTGGAGGTACCAAAAACGGATGGTGAGGATGTGGAAGTGAGGTCGGAAATTATCGAAAAAGCAAGCACCTGGCTCAATTCAGCGCGGGACAGGCAGGTCCGACAGCGGCTCGAATAGTTCGTCGAGAGAGCTACAATGCAAGTAGCGGACACTGACAGAAGACGTGCAGTGGTGGTGCCTTGGTGTGCCGAAACCAGGGCCGATCTTCCTACTCGCAGTATGGTACGGGTGATCGTTAGCGGGTCCCGCTGATCCGAGGAACGGCTCTAGCGCTGCGCTATGCCGGACGTGGCAGGCTAAGCTCCGAAAGCTTCGACTTCAGGATGGCATCTTGACCGAGATGTCGGCTGGATGTTGACCGAGGTGGCAGTAGGTGAGTGCCATTCAGAAGCGAAATGCGATGTGTGCCTGAGCGTTGAACTTTACCTCACCAGATCATTCCGGGGTGACCTCGCGGGAAGACGCAGCAACGTAAGCACCAGCTGATCGATCGTGGTTTTCACAGGAACTGCCGAAACGGCGAATTCAAACCTTGGATGGGAGCGACCGAACGGTGACATGGAAACTTTAAGTGACGTCTTTGCGCTAGACCATGTGTCAAAAGGTTACCTCAAAACGTCGCCACGTGTGACGCTAGTTCCACTTCTCTTCCTCGTCATTTTAGACTCCAGGTATTCCCGACTTATTTGCATCGCGACGACTCGTCTCGAGGATTTCGTGTCCGCGGAGTATCCCATCGATATCCTGATGTCACTCGATGGGACGGCACTTTGCACCGCCTTCACCTTCTCCAGTGTTCCATCACATAGTTGCAACTGGGTTTTGAGTGCGATGACAAGATTTTGAAGATGTAGAAGGAAAAACAGGTTATCGTACAGGGTATTAGTGTATACATGCGCTCTGGCGCAGACTACAAAGTTCGGAGCACATGTGCACCGTGACCATGGTCTTTGAGCGGAAGCAAGCAACCGACACGTAGGCGCCCATCCTTTCATATTATTTCAACATCCCCCAACGACTGGACACATGTTGTCGTCATGACGAGATTTTGGATTTGTTTCGACTACTTCTTCCCTTGCTGTAGTCTGCACGAGTATGAAGACGAACCATCAGTTTGCTCGCACGCGTTTTCGGAAGTCATAAGGTAAATCCAGAAGTGATTTTGAAGAGCAAGGCTTTTTGAGAGGTGTGAGGAGTAAAGTTTCCCACGCCACGGAGATGTTTTTATACACGTAAAACTAGCGCGATCCCCACCCGGGCAGTATAAAGTTTCCACGAGACGGTATATCGAACAACTCAAAAAGCCAGTACGCGTTACCAAACCTCCAAAAAGACAGTAGATCTGGGTGATGTTCTCTGCACTCTTCTCCACAGTCATAATTCAGCGCAGTGTCTTTTTCAAAGCTTCCGAACACCTACGCAGGTAATCACATTCATGTGTCCCTTCTCCATAAGGAATTCCGCTTTGTTTTTTGCTATGACAGAACGGGGAGGCCGACAAGCTCACGCCATGATTTTGTTGATCGCGTTTTTCAGATGCCCATTCCTCGAATGCTTGATAGTTTTGAGCGAGTGAAGCCCGTAACGTTTTTGTAGATAAATGAGAGCTTAGTCGTAGAAACTTGGGCTATATATGCGGCTGGAACGGAGGCTGACCGGCGCCCAACATGGTAAGCGAGGCATGCGTTTTTCATTCCCATTGGTGTGGTTCTCGGGTATTTTGGAAGAATAAAGTCCGGGACGTTTTGGAAGATGGATAGAAGCACAGTTGTAAGCATGCAGGCTTTATAAGCGAGGAGAACGAAGGAGGAGGGCGCACTGCATATAGCAGTCGATGTTGTCTTTAAATCCTCATAGTGACGATGGTCAAGTTTTTTTGAACCACCGGAAACCATCATATCGATGTAGAAGTGATACTTTGATGCCAGCCAGAAGGCAGGTTTGAGTCGCGAGTCGCACAGAGACCGGCAAGTGCACCGCATGACATCATCGAACATCTCTTTCGGTCTTCATGGGGGAGAACTGTTGAATGTTTGGAACCTTCACAGTCCAGTGTAGCGGGACCGGAAGGGAGACCTCGATGGTCGCTGGAAGGTGACTTTGTGTACGAGCTGACCGGGACCAGGCGGGAACACAGCATACTTGATTTCCATACCCGTTTTCGATGCTCATATCCAGCGCTGGACGCATTTTTGAAGAATCGGAAGCTGGGGTATAAGTGAAGGAATGAGACGTCAATAGTCGCCGCGAAGTAGGTTTTATATGCGCGCTGAACGCAGCCACACAGACGCACCATGTTTCGTTCCTAAGTCCTCTTTTCGATCTTCATCTAACGTTTGCATTGATGTTTTGAACAACAGAAGACTGGACCATGCTTTATGTTCTTGATAGTTTTGAGAATGAAGCTTTGAATGCGAGCCGAACGGAGACGCGCAGACACACTGCATAGGTTACTTGGGAAGGCGTTTAGGTCTCCATTCCACGAAGTCGAATAGGTTTTGATATGTTTGATGCCAGGATGTTGGTACAGAACAGACATAATCACAGTCGTCGAGATCTTGGAATACAAATTTTGATTGCGAGCCTCACGGAGACAG